ACCACAAATAGTGACCCAATGCTGTAGCCTAGAGTCCCTGAGCCTCTTTATTCATGTGGTCCCTGTCAGTCTGGATAGTGTACCTCTCTTTAATCCAAATAAAATTATCTTGCTTCTCTTACAAGTCTTTGTGAGCCCTTATTTTCAATTCTTTGTACAACACTCCAAAAACCTAAAAACACCGGGTCCAGACCAAACCACTGAAATAAATAAAGAAATGTCACAGTAAAACCTGCTTCATTGTGTGCTAACCAAAGCAATCAATTACAAAGGGTTTAAAAGAAGAACCGAAGCACAATGGCACATGCCTGTAATCCCAGTACTGAGGAAGTAGAATCAAGATCAAAAACCAGCTGTAACTATGTAGCAAGTCTGAATCCAGACCTTGTTACATTAGGAGGAGGGGGAAGGGGGGGAGGAGGAGGAGGAGGAGGAGGAGGAGGAGGAGGAGGAGAAGAACAAGAACAAGAAGAACAAGAACAAGAAGAACAAGAACAAGAAGAAAGGAGTGTAAGAGTGTAATGCCAAGGAGGGGAAGGTGCGTGTGAAAAGTCCCTTTTGTTTCACCTGCCTCGTCCTCCTCTACTGTATAAAGTTGATACTAGTATTTAAAGACTCACTATTTGGAAAAACACAAATGATCACACTTTCTTAAACACAAGGCTAAATACCCTTTTTAGCCAATAAGAATCATTAAACCATTTCATATCAGTTACTTCAGTCTGTGTTTAGAGGAGTGTGCCCAAGGAATTCATACCAATTCTAGTATCTGGCAAAGAAAAAACAACAGACAATTTATTTAAATTATATAATTTATTTAATCAAAAAGTATATAACTAGCCAGGTGTGGTAGTACAAGCCTTTAATCCCATCATTGGGAAGGGAAGAGTCGGCCCAGAGAGAGGCAGACCTCTGTGAGTTTGGGGTCAGCCTGATCTACATAGCAGGTACCAGGACAGCCGGGGCTAGACTGTGTCTCAAAAAAAAAAAAAAAAAAAAAAAAAAAAAAAAAAAAAAAAAAAAAAAAAAAAAAAAAAAAAAAAAAAAAAACACCACAGAAATTAATTTAAAAAAATAAATAAATAAAAGATAATACCAGCACTAAGGCTGTGGAATCTGAAGAATTATAAATCAAGCCAGCCTGCACTACAATAACAAAAATATATCTGAAAAAAATAGTTTTTAGCCAGGCGATGGTGGCACACACCTTTAATCTCAGCACTCGGGAGGCAGAGGCAGGCAGATCTCTGTGAGTTTGAGACCAGCCTGGTCTACAGAGCTAGTTCCAGACAGACAGGCTCCAAAGCCACAGAGAAACCCTGTCTCGAAAAACAAAAAAAAAAAAAAAAACTTTTTAAAAACTTAACTTTAGGCTGACACAGAAGTATCTCTGTGAGTTTGAGGCCATCTTGCTCTACACAGTGAGTTCAGAATAGCCAGAATTAAACAGAGAGACCCTGTCTCAAATAAAAATACTAATACTAATACTTCTAATTAAGAAAAACCTTAATTTTTAAAAAGATAAACACAACCGGGTGTGGTGGGGCACGCCTTTAATTCCAGCACTCAAGAGTCAGAGGCAGGCAGATCTCTGTGAGGCTAGCCTGGTCTACAAATCAAGTTCCAAGACAGACAAGGCTACACAGAGAAACCCTGTGTTGAAAAACCAAAACACTCACACACATTCACACACACAAACACACAGGTGCACAAACCCTCCCACCCTCTGGAGTAAATCAGGCTTGATGCTATATATCTGTGATTCCAATTCTTGGGTGTCTGAAGCAGGAGGATTATAAAGTCAAGGACAGCCTGAACTACTAGAGAGAGAGAGAGAGAGAGAGAGAGAGAGAGAGAGACCTTATCTCCTCTCATAACACCAAAAAAACGCATCTTTCTAAATCCAAAGGAAAAGGCACATCTAGGATGACACGTAAATGAAGGGGATGACTAAACTTGACGGTGGATGTTACTCTTAAATGTAAAACAATATAAATCAGAGTTCCTGTGATTTTTCTCATTTCAGAATGCTCAAAGGACTTAGAATGACATATTCATCTAAACAGAGAAAACATAATCCAATTTTTTTATTCTTTCCATTAATCCAAACAATAGTTACAATTCAATAGTTACAATAATAGTTTCAATATTACAATAATAGCTTCAACTGAACTCTTTAGAGGAAAACCTATCCTGGGTTTAATATAATACATTTCAAACACTTAAGGTGGACAGATTCCAGGGAACAGTAAAGGAAATGACCACATAATTCTTAAAATACAGGAAAATCCTCCCAGTTGACATTTAAACTATGCGCATGCACTTCAATAAAAGATATACGACACCTAATCCTAGCTAGCTTCCTTATTAATATGATAAACACCATGGAAAATGTGAAAATCAAAGTTACATTTTAAGTTTTAATCACTATGCCGTAGGGATCCATGAAGCAAAATGCCTCTGATCTGCAAGCCCCTTCCAAAAAACAGTTCCTCAAATGCTGGATGCTATTGTTTATGGGATATAGCAAGCAACATGTTTCCACTCCCATAAACAAGTTTGTCTCACCCATCTGCACCGAATATGTTGGATCACTTGTCCCTGACTGGATCTAAGGGAAATACTTAAGATGCTGCAAAACTTGATTCAGGGCCATCTTCTGGAAACCTGGAGATGGACCTGGTAAGAGCCCATCCACTTGGCCAGTATTTAATTAAAGCTTGCTATAAATGTAGCTTTAAATTGTGGTAGTGGTCTCAAACCAGTGGAATTAACAAAAAGAAATTTGGGAAGAAAAGGGTTTATTTTGTCTTACAACTTTCAGGTCACAGTTCACCACTGGGGGAAGCCAGGGCAGAAATCTGACGTGGGAACTGAAGCAGAAACCAACAGGATGCTAGCCTGTTTTCTCCTGCAACCCAAGCCCACCTGCTCCGTCTAGCATCACACATAATGGGCTGGGTCTCCTACACCAATTAATAATTAAAATGCCTCAAACACACACCCATAGCCCTTTCTGATGAAAGCAATTCGTCAGCTGAAGTCCTCTCTTGCCAGGTGTCAGGTTCAAACCCAGGATTAGCCTTCTCCTACCTATAATCCCAGTACTCAAGAATCCGAGAAAGGAAGGCTACCTGTAGACAAAACCCTCATACACGTAAAATAAAAATAAAACATCTTTAAAATTTTTAAATACTATAAATTTCACCTATTTATGAATAACTCATTAGTCCAGAATGGATTTTGTTGCTTGTGAGTTTGCAGCTGTTAAGGTCTCACTAAGTAGCCCAGGCTAGCCTCAAACATGCCCAGCCTAGGGAATGTTTAGATTACAGGCATGTATCACCATAATAAGGTCCCAAAAGGTATTTTTCTTCACTATAAATATGTAATTATTTACAGAAGCAGGGAGAAATAGAAACAAATATTCAATATGATATAGCTTTAACTTACAAAATTAAAGTTACTCTAAAGTGTTTTGAACCTAATTTTATATAATTTTCTGTTCATGACTGCCATAATACCATATTTCTGCATTACTCTTTAAGCTTCCCCCCAGACCTATACTGGCTCCACAAAATGAAAATTGTGACATCACCTTATACAAAGGAACAACACAAAGGGATATCCCTACAAAGGAATAAATAAAGGAAGATTTAGCAGTAAATACAATAACCTCCTTTCTCATGTCACTTACCATCTTTAATTGAGAACATCTAAAAATCTTTACAAAGTAACAGTCATTGATGGTTGTAGAACACATTGTAACAGCTTTTACTATAACCTATAGAGCACTCTAAGTGATTGACATATAGTAATCTTCATAATTCTGTAAGCAGGAATTATTTTCATTCTATTACAGATAGAACTGAGTTATGGGCAGGCTCTAATACACCCAGTGTCATTCTGCTATGAATGATACGCTAGGTCCCAATAGGCAAGCGCCAACAAATCCCAACATCAGATGTTTCAGAGGCCAAACGTCAATAGAACTAATAACCATACGACACACACACACACAAACACACACTTCCAACCTGCCTTGATTGTGTTAGCATGATATGTTACAAATGTTAGTTAAAATGTACAAAGCAATAATTCAAAGTGTAGCTCTACAGTGAAATGAGAGAGAGTGTACAGAAAACATGGCCAGGACTTTCATCAACTCCCTAGCTACTTTCCCTGATATCAAAGGCTAAGCAAAAGCCCACAACTGTCAGCTTGGGAATGTCTACTTTACCTCACACCTCCTCCTTCACACTCATCGCTGCTCATCCCCATGTCTTCATTTCCCTCCCCAAGACGTCGTCATATCCAGTGAAACAGTCATCTCTATGATCTGGTCAGCTCACTAACAAACCCATCCTCGCCACATTGCAGTCTTTTCAAGCCTCAAACTCATCAGTACTCCAGAGTCAGAGAGACTGGGAGTCCCTCACTGTGGCTACCAAGAGCCTCTGCAACTCAACGCAGTGCCCACTATAAACCTGGACCAGTCCAGAAAATCCCACTGAACTGCAAACCTGGAATGGTCCTGAAAATCCCAGAGGAACAAGAGCGCTCTCACAAAACACACACATATAGCTTCAGGATTTTATCTGCTACGTTTGTGATAAACCTTGTCTTTCCACTTTTGACACTGCCACAGAGCTGACATCGTGTGTTGTTAAAGATACATCTCATTTTGGGAATGTGAACTTCAAAAACTGTCCTACTGAAAATAACTATCACCAATAACTTTTATAACCACGAATCCTACAAAAACAAGAGGAAGAAGGAATTAACAATAACAATTTTTTTTAACTCAGGAAAAGTCACCAATGAAAATAATTTTTAAAAACCATCCTTTCAGTTTCAAAATCCTTTATATTGCTTTGGTAATATTGGTGGGAAACACTGGTTACATGACATATGACTAACTCAGCATTTTCATGCCATTTAAAAATAAGGAACATAAATTCAACTATTTTAAATAAAACATGAAAAGAGAGAAGAAATACCTCAAGCTCCACCAGAGCTGCAGTCACTGCATCTGTCGCAAGAGCACCAGCCTGCAGCTTCTCAATTGCCTACGGAACCAAGAGAAGAAATTATTCACTGTAAAACCAGCTCGGCAAACCTATCATAAGCTTTGCAAAGACTTAAAAGTATGAGAAACTCAGAGTAAAACTCGGTCAGCATTTCCACTCCACACTTGAAAGCAGAGCAGGGTGTGTGACCTGCTGACACTGAGACCTGAAGATGTGGCTCTGTTGGGTTTCATTCCTGGATGCATGGGACCTGTGGGTTGCACAATGGACAAGCTGCTTTAAGGCATATGTTTCTCAGACTTAAGAAAAGTAGTGTTTATTACTCAGACTAATCATCATTCTTGATGGGGCTGGAGAGATGGCTCAGTGATTAAGAGCACCAGCTGCTCTTCCAGAAGTCCTGAGTTCAATTCCCAGCAACAATATGGTGGCTCACAACCATCTGTAATGAGATCTGGCGCCCTCTTCCGGCATGTGGGCATACATACAGGCAGAATGTTGTATATATAATAAATAATTTTTAATTAATTAAAAAATCATCATTCTTGATATTATCCAAATGAAAACAGCAACTAAAAATTAGCCACTAATTGCAAGGTACAATGAGTTGTAAGGAAAAGAGCTACACTGTTCACAGAGCAATTCAAAAGAGCCACAGAAATGCAATGAGCTAGTTCAGCTAAGATACCCTGATAATTTATGTTCCATATGAAAAACTGCATCTCACACCTAGCTACCTCTCCTACGATTTCTACTCTTCCCATCCATGTGAATCAAAACCAACTACTGTTTCTAAGTCACAAAATCTCCTGATAAACCAGCTATGGTGGCTCACACCTTTAATCTCAGCTAGGAGGCTGAGGCACAAAGAGTACATGATTTACAAATCTAGTCCAGCATAGAGTTGAAAATGGGTGGGAGGGTGTATATTAATTAAAAAGAATCCACAGGTGGAAACATTCATTTTCAAGAACATTCTTGATAATATAATGTCTTCTTCTATGAAAATACTCTTTTGTAATATATTCTACTGAGTAAAAAAAAAAAAATCACCTAATGGGGGGGGGGGACATAAACTGATTTTTACAATCTGAGCGGCCTGTGCTGGTACCTAGAGCCATGGTGACAGCCAGCCCTGGGCTGCTTCTGGGAACCATGTCTGGGTCCATGATCTTACAACAGCCAGGGTCTCAGTTGATGTCCACGGCTCCTATTACCACTGAGGGCTGTGCAATGCCCGGGATCTAGACAGCTACCTGAGACCATGTTGGTGTCTGAGAGCCCTTCTGCTGCCAATACCATACTGGTCTGGGTACCCTCTGCTGCCACTGGGGCCATGGTGATGTCCAGGCCACAGTACCACAGTGCATTTCTGAGTTCATGGTCCTGCTACAGACAGGATCTTTGATGATGTTCATGGCCCATGTTGCCACGGGTCATAGGAACCATGAATGTTGAAATCTGAGGGCTATGCCGAGACACTCCCGCCCCTCACTGGCCTTGAGATAGCTGGCCCTGCCCCTGACTGGTCACTACAGCAGAAGAACTGGACCTATGGGAAAGCTGGCTCCCCATACTCAGGAGAGATGGCCCCACCTCTCACCATGGGTATGGAAGAGCTGGTTCTGATGGCATGGGCCTAGAAGAGCTGTCTCTGGCTCTCACACGAAGGGCATGGTCCCAGTGGCAACCAGCTCAGCTACCACCCAGACCCACATCCTGGCCACCCAAACATCTACCCCATCTATGACCTGCTGGAGTGTGAAAAGGAACTGCTCCTGCAGAACAGTAACTGTAGGATCCCCAAGACTCAGAGCAACAGCAGGATATCAGAGAGGAATTTCGGGAAGGTCCAGTGAGAACGGTGTGCCACGGGTCTTAAACCACACCAATGACTTACTGCAATGAACATTTTGTGGGTACAGCTGACTGGACAAAAGGGTATACTGCATGACACACCGAAGCACCTAATGCCACTAGGATGAATGAAGAGAGGTTGGAAAGACGGAGGTGCAAGGTAGGGTTTTGTTTGTTTTGATTTTAATTGATTTTGGGGGAAGGTTCTTTTGGAGGGGATGATGCAGGTGTGAGGGGAGGATAGGGAGGGACTGGAAGGTGAGTGGGATTGGGATGCATGATGTGAAATCCACAAAGAACCAATAAGAAATTATGTTATTAAAAAATTAACTTTTAAATGAATTATTAAAACTCTAATTTAATTAACAAAGACAAAGCCCAAAAACTAATCAATCATATATTTTTAATTAAACTTTTTTGTTATTTTATTTTATGTATGAGTGTTGTGTTTGCATGTCTGGATATGTAAATGTGTGTGTGTGTGTGTGTGTGTTTACTATATAAAATCCCTGTAACAAAATACTCTCAATTTATGGTAAGCCACTAATAAGAAAAAGTTCGTTACCCCAATACAGTATCTTTCTTATAAATGGAATTTAAATATAAATAAAAGGAAAAATACCCATATTTACCTGATAGGCAGTATCTGATTAACATTTTATATGCATAAAAAGTATTGACAAGCCGGGCGGTGGTGGCGCACGCCTTTAATCCCAGCCCTCGGGAGGCAGAGGCAGGCGGATCTCTGTGAGTTTGAGACCAGCCTGGTCTACAAGAGCTAGTTCCAGGACAGGCTCCAAAACCACAGAGAAACCCTGTCTCGAAAAACCAAAAAAAAAAAAAAAAAAAAGTGTTTTGAGTTTGCCTACAAACTATATAGTACAGATCTAAATAAAAACAATATTTTTTTTTCTGAGCTCATTCCTGCCCCCAAATTAAGTATTCAAAAGTTTAGAAAATTTCAAAAGTCAAGGTGCACAAAGTCCGAGTAAAGAGAACAGCAGACTCCACTGCAACTCTACTGCACTAGGAAGACAGGCATCTGCTATGCCCATGCTGGAGAGCAAGCTAGGTAGGGCCCAGGGTCAGCTAAGAAAAGCACTTGTTTGCTTTCTTTCCTTCTTTCTTTCTTTCTTCCTTTCTTTCTTCCTTTCTTTCTTTCTTTCTTTCTCTCCCTCTTTCTCTTTGTTTTTTATAACTTCCCATCAAGAAAAGTATTTATTCATAGGAAGGCAAAGGCAAGTGAATTCCAGGCCAGCCAGAGCTACAAAATGAGATCCTGTCTCAAAAAAAAAAAATAAAAAAATAAAATAAAATACATACATACATACATATACATATAAATTCTCAAAAAATTATTTTTTAAAGAAAGGAAGGAAGACAATAAACTACTTAAGAGGAAGTTTTCCCCACCTTTCCATAGAATTCAGTCATGTAGGAATATTTAAAAGGATATGGTTATATGTGCCCATAACTATAAAAGTACAGACTTCAATCTGGGGAAGGAGAGGAGAAAGCTAAACATCATTCAAAGAATCAAACTAGAAACTGAGGACTAAAGTCCTACAAATATGAGTACAGTAACTTTGGGATCCAGCCAAACTTCACTGGAAATGAAAAATAAAACTCTCAGTCTCAAGGTGAAGCTTCATATGCAGAACCACAGGCATTACACACATGCTGCTCATACCTTCTGACAAGCTCGTTTGCATACATGTTTATATTCCTTGGCTTTGGATTCTGAATGATAACCTGCACCTACAGTTAAAAAAAAAAAAAAAAAAGAACAAAGAAATGTTAGTAACTGCTAAACTACCAGTGGCTCCACCAACTAGAAAATCAGCCCACACATGCAGTCCCAGGGCCTTGGCTGTATGGGATTCTAGACTCTACAGTTGATGACATAAATCACAAAACAATCCCATATCTGTTCAGAATTATGAATAATAAAATAGTTATTTATTTAAGGGGAAATGGGGGGCGGAAGCAAGAGAGAGGGCACATGTTTACAGCTGCTTTTACAGCTGCTTTAACAGTGTAAGAGACCACGCCCAAGTGGGCTGGTATCTTAAAGGCTATTGGCTGAAGGAGCAAAATGTGCTCCCATAGCATACAGTTGCTATCCTTATTCAAAAAAGTTTCCTGTCAGATCTCCTAAGAAGAGCATGTGTCCTTAAAGATCCTTCCCATGGTCACTCCCCACCCCCTTTCAAGAATCTCTACCAAGATTAGAGATACCTGCAGCAAACCAGACAACCTAAGTTCTATTCCAGAGGCCTATAAGACAAAAAGAGAAAGCCAACTTCCACAAGTTATTCTCTGATCTCCATAAATGTCCTGTGGCACAGGCCCTCCCCCACCACCACACACATAAGATGGACAGACAGACAGACAAGATTAGATAGATAGATAGATAGATAGATAGATAGATAGATAGATAGACAGACAGATGATATAGAAGATAAGATAGATATGATAGACAGACAGACAGACAGACAGATAGATAGATAGACAGAAAGATATAGAGAGATAGAGGCAGAGAGATAAAGAGATGGATGATAGATAGATAGATAGATAGATAGATAGATAGATAGATAGATAGATAGATAATAGATAGATAGATATAGATATGATAGAGAAAGAGAGATAGAGACAGACAGACAGATGTGGTTTTTAACTTAAAAAATACTAAACTCAGGAGTTCCTTTGGTATGGAGTTGTTAAAGCAGGTGGTGCCAGGAACAAAGAACCTTGAAGTCCCTCTCTAGTGATCTTTTAATTTGGGAAATTACTATTTAGAATCTAAAATTCTCAAGAATTCTCCAAAAATCCTACAGACAGTTACTTAAAAGTTCGGCTCCAAATAAACTAGTTTCCTTAAGGAAATTTATCCTTGGAACTAGAGAGACAGCTCAGTGGTTAAGAGCATCTGCCGTTCTTCCAAAGAAACCCCATTCAGTTCTCAGGACCTATATCAGGCAGCTCACAACCAACCACCCAACTCCAGCTCCACGAAATCCAATGTCCTCTTTCGGTCTCCACGAGTGCACACATGTATCTCTCTCTCTCTCTCTCTCTCTCTCTCTCTCTCTCTCTCTCTCACTCACTCACACACACACACACACACACACACAATACGTAAGTAAATTTTTAAAAATTATTTTTATTACTTTTAATTCTGTGTGTCTGTCTATATGTGCACATTCACACAAGTGTCCAAGGAAAACAGAAGAAAAGTGTTCCATTCTTTGGAGCTAGAGGTACTTGTGCTTGTAAGCAGCCTAACATCAATGCTGAGATGTGAACTTGAGTCCTCTTCAAAAGCAAATGCTTTCTGATGCTTTTTAAGATTTATGTGTCTTTATTTTATGTGTAAGTCCATACACCACTTGCATGCAGTGTCCACAGAGGCCAGAAGAGGGCGCTGGATCCCCTGAACTGAAGTTACAGGCAATTGTTAACTACGATGTATGTGCTGGGAATTGAACTCCTGTCCTCTAGAATAGCAGTCTGTGCTCTTAAAGTCTGAGCCATCTCTCCAGATCCTTATTTTTAATTAAGAGGGTCAAGCTAGAAATGGAGTACAAGGAGAAAGGGGAGCAAAAGGAAGAGAAATAAGAACGTTAAACTCTTGATGGCTAATGTTCTTATTAAAGTTCTTTAGTATGAATTTATCCTCATTCAGCAGATTCCATAGAGGTCAAAGCTAAGGAAGGTTAAAGTTACATGTCTAATCTCCCAACTCTCCTGTGGATCTAGTGAAAACATAACACACTTTTCTCAAGGCTGAGAAAAAAACTGACCCACAAACAATGTTACAAGGACCTGGGACAACAGAAACAATGGTTAACCAACTAGAGTCCCTAAGGCTCAAAAAGTTTCTCTTTCAGAGAAAGCTAAAAGCACATAGAGTCACTATCAGTCTTGGTCAAACCTATCTTCACAGCTCTCTTTTGACGCCTTGACGCCATGATCTACAGAGGAAAAATAATCAAGTATTTGAAAACGGAACCATATGACCCAGGTGTACCACTCCTGGATACGCATACCCAAAAGGACTATATATCTTACAGCAGAGACACTTGCATATCCATAGTCATTGACATTCTATTCACAACAGCTAGGAAATGGAATCAACTTAGATATCCAAAAACTGGCAAATGGATAAGGAAAATGTGGTACATATATACACCATGGAATATTACCCAGTTGTAAAGAAAAACCAAATCATGAAATTTGCAGGCAAATGAGTAGAACTGGAAAAAATACTGAGTGAGGTCACCAGGCCCAAAGACAAACATTGCATGTTCCTCTCATATATAGACTCTCTTCAAATCTTTTGTTTCGTGTGTTTAACCTGGAGAACTCTTTGGGGAGGACACCAAAATACAAGGGAAATGAAATTCAGAGGTGGAATGCTGAATGCAGAGAGGTTTCAAGAAGACAGTGAAGTAAAGAGGACTGAGAAACAAGGAGACATGAAAGTGCTAACAAAAATGAAGTGTACATTGTGCATAAAGAAGCCACATGATCTTGCAACTCAAGTAAAAATAATAGTAAGAGATAGCAGAACACATATGATATGAAGAACATGGGAGGGGGTAGTACAAGGAGCTAAAGGCTGAAAAGAAGGGGGCAGTGGTTGAGGAAAGGAGTGCAGGGAGTAGGTCTAACCAAAACTGACAACCTATGGAGAAGCATTATTAAACCACATCCTTTGGTAAGCTAATTATATTTAGTTTTTTCTTTAAAAAAAAAAAGTTTAGATGTCAGTACCCCACATGGATGAACAGACTGTTTCCAAATGATGGGTTATTAAATATCTGTTTCATGCACAAGTCAACTCCCTATGAATTATTGGCCAGGAAGTTCACAGAAGTACCAAAAACAATATAGGCTACTGCCTTTCCTCCCGACTGTCCACCATAAGTACAGAGTAATACCTAAGTGCTGAAGACACCTCATGCTTCAGTTACAGGACATAAAAATCAATCAAACTGATCAGGAAACTCCCCGCTAGCTAGCTCTCATAATGCTAGAATGTACTAGAGGAGAGGAGACATCAACCGTGTTCTGGACCCTGAACACTACAATACAAACCCACGGGGCATGATGGACCCACTGGTGCAACAGCAGTAAGACTGCCCATAGTTATAACCAACCACTCTCATGATTAGATCTGAGGTCCGCTGCACAGGAGGGAATTCATGCCAGCCACTATTCTCAGTCAAATGCATGGTCAGGAAGGTTATAGGCTCTACAGGCGAGCCTAACAATGTTGCTTTGCTAAATGGCCATTTTGTCAAATTGCTCTCTAAATATTTATCCATTAAATGTGTGCTGTTCTCAATCTTTGTCAGACAATCTTTTTACTAAAGAAGATACTGGCTACTGCAGACTCATAACTGTCCAAAGTGCTGAAAATAAGTAACTATGAGTGCTCAGATACAAATGCAACATACACATTAACCACCACTTCTAGCCCCCTGCAAGGCTCAGAGAACAGAGAAGGAGCAGAAAGAATGGAAGGACCTGAGGATGGAAGAAATGCTGTTTTCATGTGGCTACTAAACAAAAACTCATAGCACCTAGTTATAACTAGTTATACAAGACACACAAGATCAAACTATCTTTAAAAGAATATATCCAGCATGGAAATGGGCGGGGCTCCTAATGCCTGTTGAGGAATTGAGAGTCATTTTTCTTTAGGGTGATGGCCACTAGAAGGCTGCCCAAAGCCCAGCAGAGGACTCTACATCCTTGCATATGTGGGCAACAATAACTGGACTCAGTTGTTTAAAAAAATAAATAAATAAAACAGGAAGTTGGAAGGGAGATGTGCTGGGTAGGGGCTGAGGAAAGCTGGAGGGAAGGACTGTATACGATGATCAAGATTCATTGTATACATATATAAAATTTTCAAAGAATAAATGTTTAAAGTTAAGATCAAGCAGGCATTACCAATAGACTATCAGGGATGCTGCCTATAAGCAGTCCACACTAACGGATGCAGTCCTAGGTCTGTTGTATTCCATATCAGGGATCCCAATCTTTCAGCAATATTTGGTAAGGCGGGAATATTACTGGCAAAAAGTTTAGTATGCAAATTCTTCTGAGTAGAATAAAGAAAAGGGCTCAATGTGGCCCCAATTAATCTTTAGAATCTGGTTAATACTTGCTCATATCCCTGTTTGACAAAGGAAAGACAGGCTCAGCACTCAGAGCACTCCCAAGCAATGGGACACAGCAAAAACTATTGCACTATTGTGTTTGCACTGTGCGAGCTATGATTTCTCTACTACAAGTAACACTGAAATTCACTACATAGGCCGGGCGGTGGTGGCGCATGCCTTTAATCCCAGCACTTGGGAGGCAGAGGCAGGCAGATCTCTGTGAGTTCGAGACCAGCCTGGTCTACAAGAGCTAGTTCCAGGACAGGCTCCGAAACCACAGAGAAACCCTGTCTCGAAAAACCAAAAAAAAAAAAAAAATTCACTACACAGAAATAAGACTCTGCTTTTCAACTTTAAAGGCTGGGTTTGGAGAGATGGCTCAGTGGGTTTTTTGGGGTTTTTTTGGGGTTTTAATATTTATTTATTTATTATATTATGTGTACAGCATTCCTTCCATGTGTGCCCGCAAGCCAGAAGGGGGTGCCAGGTCTCATTATAGATGGCTGTGAGCCACCATGTGGTTATTGGGAATTGAACTCAAGACCTCTGGAAGAGCAGTCAGTGCTCTTAACCACTGAGCCATCTCTCCAGTCCGGCTCAGTGGTTAAGAGCATGTACTGCTCTTGCAGAGAACCCCAGCTCAGTTCCCAGCTCCCACACTTGCTAGACAGATCATATCTACCTGTAACTTTTGCTCAAAGGATCTAACACCCTCTCCTGGGCCTCTGTGAGCACCTATATTCACATGCACATATTTAAAAAATAAATATTTCTTCAAAAATTTAAAAGGGGCTATTTTGTTTTGGCTTTTTTTTCTGCTTGGTTCCTCGGTCAGTTGGTTGGTTGATTGGTGGGTTGGTTAGTTAGTTGGTTTGGACTGGATTCTTCAGGGTAACTCAGGTGGCGAGGAATTCTTTATGTAGCCCAGACTGATCTCAAACTCATGATATTTCTCCCACCACAATGTCCCAAGTGCTAGAATTGTAATGTGCCCCCATAGAGAGTTGACTCTTACTATTGTCAGGATCAAGTTAGCCAATAGCTAGGTTAAAAACAAAACTGTACTAATCAAATGACTAAATGTTGGTAAGTCTTTTTTTTTTTTTTTTTTTTTGGTTTTTCGAGACAGGGTTTCTCTGTGGCTTCGGAGCCTGTCCTGGAACTAGCTCTGTAGACCAGGCTGGTCTCGAACTCACAGAGATCTGCCTGCCTCTGCCTCCCAAGTGCTGGGATTAAAGGCGTGTGCCACCATCGCCCGGCTGTTGGTAAGTCTAATGCTGAACAAAACAGCTATATATTTTGTGAGAAATGTAATCTTTAACCCTTTAAAAAAGTAAAAATAGGGGCTGGAGAGATGGCTCAGGGGTTAAGAGCCTCTGACTGCTCTTCCAGAGGACCTGAGTTCAATTCCCAGTAACCACATGATGGCTCACAGCCATCTGTAATGAGATCTGGTGCCCTCTTCTGGCCAGCAAGCATACAGAGAGACAGAACATTGTATGCATAATAAATAAATAAATCTTAAAAAAAAAAAGTAAAAATATAGACTTCTTTGTAATCAATAATCTGTTTGACTTTCCAATAATTTAGATACGGAGGGTGTAGCTGGGCAATGGTAGTACACACCTTTAATCCCAGCACTTGGGAGGTAGTGGCAGGTGGATCTCTGTGAGTTTGAGGTCAGTCTGGTCTACAAAGCGAGTTTCCGGATAGCCAGGACTGTTACACAGAGAACCCTGTCTCAAAAAAAAAAAAAAAAAAAAAAAATGAGGATGTGTCTGTGGCCATGCACCCTGAACTGACCCAATCTTAGCTATCTCAGAAGCTAAGCAGGGTCAGGCCTGGTCGGTACTCAGAAGGGAGGAGCAGAGGTTGCCCATGATCACCACTTTCTGCCATCACCCAGACTGATCCCTACTCGTTCTGATCTCTAGCACAGTCTTTAGCTAGGTGCCATTACCATCAAGAGTGTGTCTGAAAGGAAGAAAAGAATCACAACAGTCAACAAAAGCAATGTTTTCCAAATCTAAAGCTGTCACTACTTGTCCAAGTTTCAGATGATTCTTGCACTGTTTACCAATAACTTTAAAGACAGTTACTTACTGGTATTATGGATGTATTGCTAAAAAGGTACAGTCAAGATGATAATGAACCAGAGATTCGGAAGCAGGAGGAGTCCCAGGTCTACTTTTAACTGAGTAAAAGTACACATATTTCCATAAATTTGCCTCATCTTGCCTCTTCTTTCTTTTTTTAAAGATCCTGGTGTGTGAAGGTGTGCCTGCATGCACACATGCTTATGTATGTCATGTATGTGAAGGTGCCCATGAGTACCAAAGGCATCAGATGCTGTGCAGCTGCAGTTACAGGAGGTTCTAAGCACTGTGTGTGGCTGCCAGGAACTGAACTCAGGTCCTCTGAGAGCAGCAATAGTTCTTAACCACTGAGCAATTTCTCCAGCCCCCCTCAACTCTCATTGTATAAGAGTGGAGTGTGGTGGGAAAACAGAATAAACAAAATAATAAATATTTAAAATTACTTTGGATTTAACATGACTGATCCAAACATATGTACTATATAAGGTAAGTAAGAGAGGGGAAATAAGGAAGACGTAGGTAGAAGTACCACTGTAAAACATTCCAACCAAGATACAGAATAACATCTAACAGGTTCTTTGCTTCCAGGCCTCTTTGTCAGATACAAAATGCAGTCTCTGGTGTTTTTTACAGCAAGAAATGGAAAACATCCTTTTTGGTCTCCACTCCACAGGTCTCACCTGCATGCACCAGCACAAAGCCCCCTCGTTTCTCCTCACAAGGCTGCCTTGTTTCCGATTCCTTGACTGTGACTTTAGCAGCAGATGCCTGAGGTGCTCTGGAAGGCAATCCTTCTCCAGAACTCATCCCCTTCTCCATGGTCATCCTCCAAGATTTTCATCTTCTATCAGGAAAAGAGCATCCTTCCATGCATCAGCAACTATAAAAAGAGTTACCCTAGGGGAAAAAAGGAAAAGATTACCTCTGTTTCTTTCTACCAGCATACACACTACTTACAAAAAGTCATACACATATTTTTTAAAATAGGTTATTTTTTAAATTATTGAATTGGATAACAGTAACATAACATAACAAGTTTACAATTTATATCCATCTCCAGTGACAGTACTTGTCTGAAGACATATAAACAAAAGAACTTTCTATAAAAAGATCTCATCTGGGCTGAGTGTGGCAACACACGCCTTTACCAGAGCTCTGGAGAGTCAGAAGCAGGGGGATCACTGACTTTGAGGCTAGCCTGGTCAGTCTGTCTGTCTGTCATCTGTCTGTCTATCTATCTATCATATATATAGCAAGTTATATACAGACAGTTCTAGCCTACCCAGGACTACATAGTTAGATCCTTAAAAGGGGGGGAAGGAAACTCTCCAAAAAAAAAAAAAAAACCCCACCTAGTCCAAATGTTGTCTTTGTGTTGCCCATACTGAAGTAACCTCAACACAGAGTGACTGACTATCACTTTATTTTCCCTGCACACCAGCCAATCTCTGGGACATTTGAAATTACAAGCACCACTGGCACACTAAACTAAGATAAAGTCTAGCTTTCTATTTAAAGAAAGCAACAAATTCATACTTACATGTGAGGTATTTTTAAATTTTTATTCAGTATTACCGTGTGTACATATTGTGGAGGTAGAAGTCAGAGGACAACACTGCGGAGTCAGTTTTCTCCTTCCACCTTACATGGGTTCTGGGAATCAAGCTCTAGTTGCTGGCCTTACAGAGCAAGCACCATTACCAGCTGAGCCATCTCACCAGCTTGAATGTTTGTTGGCACAAGACCTCACTATATGGCTCAAGCTGGCCTGAACGCCCTGCCCCATGACTATACTGCCACAGCCTTCTTTGTGAGTACTGAGATTACAGAGTGTAATACCACTGTTCCCATTTACAAAAAATTCTTCAGTTCTCAAAATCATCAGTTAAATGCTGCTCAGTGCAATTATGAAACATAAATTCTAACAAAATTATGTCTAAACCAAGAATCAATCATGAAACATAAATGCTAACAAAGTTATGTCTAACCCAAGAAATTAAACAAGCACCCTTTCAAACAGCTGTCAGCATGAAAAGCCGGAAGTTCTCCACAGGGAAGTAATGAGACATAAAATTTAATAAAAACAATTTTCAAGTGACTAATGCCATTAAGCTTTTAAATTTAGTCACTATGGAGTAAAAATTCAAAAACATTACACAATTAAATTTTAATAACAACAAAGAGGTCAGAATTTATTCTAAATTAGGACTAAACATACCACTTTAAAAGCAACAAAGAGATTTAAAGAAAACATGACAGTGGGGGTGGTCAAAACTTTTTAAATGACAGTGTTAAGTAAAAATACTCAATCGTGGACAGGCAATGCTCTTAACCTCTGAGCCATCTCTCCAGCCCCTGCCTGTTCTTCCAAAGGTCCTGAGTTCAATTCCCAGCAACCACATGGTGGCTCACAACCATCTGTAATGAGGTCTGGTGCCTTCTTCTGGCTGGCAGGAATACACGCAGACAGAATACTGTATACATAATAAATAAATATAAAAAAATACTCAATCATATTAAATTGAAAAAAGGAAGGGGTCAGACATTGTGGCAAATGTCTATAATTCCAGCACCGATAAGGCTGAGACAGAGGATTGCAAAATAAAGGTCAATAGGGTTACACAGCTGGAACCTGGTTCAAAGATAAATCAATTCGATTCAATTAAAAGCAGCCACTAGAAGGAATGAAGAAGTTCTTGATTTATAGACATGGAACAAACATCTAGTTAAAAACTATTTTAAAGCATACAAATAAACAACTGAGAAGTTTGAGACCATAGTTGGGTATACAATGAGATCCAGAATACCTTGATCGAAAAGAGAGACTCTTTTTAAAAAATGTATATTTATCATCTGTGTGTGTTGATGTGGGAGTGTCATATATCAATCTGTTGATTTCATTGGTTAAGTTATAATAAACCAACTGCTTGGCCTCAGCTTGGAACATAGATGGGAGGAGTAAACAGAATAGAATTCTGGGCGGAAGAGGAAGTGAGGTCAGACTCTGCTCTGCTTCCGGAGAGACCGGACAGCTCTGCTGGAGCAGAGACGCCATGCTCAGCTCTCCCAGGCAGCTGCAACCCACGATGGACTTAGGCTAGAATCTTTCCGGTAAGCGCACCTTGGGGTGCTTACACACATCATTAGAAATGGGCTAGACCAGGTGCGAGAATTAGCCTGTAAGGGCTAGAGTTCATGGGCCAAGCAGTTCTTTAAATGAATACAGTTTGTGTGTTGTTATTTCGGGCATGAGCTAGCCAAGCGGCCGGGGTGTTGGGGACGCAGCCCCGCCGCTCTTATTTCAACAGTGTGTGTGTGTGTGTGTGTGTGTGTTTGGTTTTTCAAGACAGGGTTTCTCTGTAGCTTTGGAGTCTGTCCTGGAAGTAACTCTTGTAGACCAGGCTGGCCTCGGACTCACAGAGACCCACCTGCCTCTGCCTCCGAGTGCTGGGATTAAAGGCATGTGCCACCACCACCCAGTTCCACTTTTTAAATATATATAGAATATAGATGTAGATAGATAGATAGATAGATAGATAGATAGATAGATAGATAGATAGATAGATAGATAGATGTATATACACACACAATGTGGTGGCTTAAATAGGAAAAGCCCCAATAGACTCACATGTTTGAGTGTTTGGCCCATGGGGAGTGGCACTATTAGGAGGTGTGGCCTAGTTGGAGTGTGTCATTGTGGGGATTGATTTTGAGGTCTTATATGGTCAACCTACACCTAGTATGGCACATAGTCTTCTTCTGTTGCCTGTGGATCGAGATGTAGAACTCTCAGCGCCTTCTCCAGCACCATGTCTGCCTGCAAACTGCCATGCTTCTCACCATGATGATAGTGGATTAAACCTCCAAAACTGTAAATCAGCCTCAATTAAATGTTTTCCTATATAAGAGTTGCCATGGTCACCATGTATGGTGGTGCACATCTTTAATCCCAGCACTCAGGAGGCAGAGGCAGGCGGATCTTTCTGAGTTTGAGGCCAGTCTGGTTTACAGAGCAAGTTCCAGTATAGCTAAAACTGTTCCACAGAGAAGCTTCATCTCAAAAAAAAAAAAAAAAAAAAATGCCATGGTCATGGTGTCTCCCCACAGCAATAAAATCCTAACTAAGGCGTACACATGTAATGAATGTATCTATATAGTCTATCAGATCTGTTCCTTTAGAGAAGCTTAATATATATGCATATAACATATAGGTATATATACATTATATATATATATATTACAGAAGCACTAGTTAATGAACTAAATCCAAGACCCAGAAACTATAAGATTCCACTTTAAAACTGCTGTAACAAAGGAAATGCCATATTCTGAACTTACTTTGATTTGTAAGTGACATCTTTATAATGCTACCTCAGAAAAGAATATAGAAAAACATGCCCAATGACTCATAAAGGAGCTATTTTTGTTTCAATTTTTCTGAATCTTAAATTTACAGGGACACATAAACTACAGGTAATTGGAAAAGGAAAGAAAAACATTGATTTCTGCCGATCAGACAGGGGGTAGGGCATGACATTTGATTAACATTAAATACCTCTGTGATATGTTTATCATACTTGGCACTATTATTACATTATTTGAAACATGTAGCACACTTATACCAAGCGTAGCTCAAGAGAAACATCTATTGCTTCAGCTCGATTCTGAGCCAATACCCACAGCAAAACGTTCTTAATGATCAGAGATGTGCAGGGATTAAAAGTTCTATGCAATGAGAACTAAGAACACTAGGCTGGATAAGCTCTAACCGTGCACGTCAACATCCAAGCCCATAAACATCATAAATTACTTCAAATATTTTAATCTTTAAAGAATTCTATAGTTCCAGGACAGGGTCCAAAACCACAGAGAAACCCTGTCTCGAAAAACCAAAAAAAAAAAAAAAAAAAAGAATTCTATAGCTCATCTTCATGTTGCCCTCATTTCTGAGCAATGTATTTAAATATGAACATTTCACAGCTTCCCTATCAGTAATGATATTAAAATTCATTGTGAACATTATTTCATTGTGAAAGAGAACTTGTTCATTCTCTACAAAATTTTCTTAAAGAATTAATGATTACATAGATGCCGAAAACACAGCTCAGTGAGACAACATGCACAAGGTCCTGGAATGGATCCCCCAAAGCAAGATGGCTAAGCCAATAAAAAGAGCATTTGAAACGTAAGCCTTGTGATCTGAGTTCAAAACTCAGAACCCATGATATAGGAGAGAACCAACTCCTGAAATTTGCCCTCTAACCTCCAAACATGTGCCATGGCACATATACAATAAAAATGTTTTTAAGATTTTTTTTTTAAAAAAAAGGTTAAGAGTGTTATCATATGCCCACAGCTGGACATGACAGCACATGTCTATAATCCTAAAATTTGAGGCTCTGGAGAAGGAGAGTTAAGAATCTAAAGCTAAACCAGGCAGTGGTGGGGCACACCTTTAATCCCAGCACTCAGGAGGCAGAGGCAGGCGGACACTGCAAGTGCGTGCCCCACACACAGGCACAGTAAGTCGTTCTCTTAAAAATAAATAAAAGTTAACTTCTTCACAGATTTCCAAATTTTATTCATAGGAGCCAAAATTAGGGAGCACTTTAAATGCTCATCAAGCGACAATGGATCAATTAAAAACAAAATGTGATATATTTGTAAAACAGAGCATCAGTGAGTCATTACAAAGAGTAGAATATAAATAAGCATTAGAAACAGTGAATCGAAACCAAGGAAGGCCACCAATCTATCATTTATAAAAAAAATTTTTTTAAATATTTATTTATTATGCATACAATATTTTGTCTGTGTGTATGCCTGCAGGCCAGAAGAGGGCACCAGACCCCATTACTGATGGTTGTGAGCCACCATGTGGTTGCTAGGAATCAAACTCAGGACCTTTGGAAGAGCATGCAATGCTCTTAACCTCTGAGCCATCTCTCCAGCCCATTTATAAAAAATTTTAAGTGGACAGAAAGTGAGCCATCCGTGTGGCTTAAAGGTGGAGAAGCAATGGGAGGTATAACAGACTGCTAATGGGCATACCTGGAAAGGAGGTGTTCACTTGTGGAGAAGCTGTGTCCTGCTCTAAATCACAAGACAGAAAACAGTGGCTTCCAGGCCACGCACTGGCCTGGGTGACTCCATTTTACAAGCCAAATTTGGTCCATTTTGAGTGTGGACACAGAGGCAAATCGACTCTGTTCCTCATTGTACACACTGTGCACAGACACACTGCTATCTGTCCAGCACCACCCATGGCACAAGACTGAAAAATCAACTTTTTCTTTAAAGTAAAAAAGCACCTCTATAAACGTATCAGACTGGAAACATAAGAGTGCATGGGCATATTAACCTTTATCAGACAGAAACAAGCCAAAACTTTACGGAAGACATCAGTCTGAGGAAGGGTGTTACACCTTTATCTGGGCATCCTAACACTGAGCAACAGCCTCAACAACCTGTCATCTCACCACCAGGGTGTGTATTAAGGGTCCCACAGGCAAAGAAATCTGGACTGTCTCTGAGGATTAAGCTAAATCCCCATTGATGACGTGGCCCACTCACATTATCGTCAGCCCAGATCTAGCCCCACAACCTCACTTCGACTGCCTCCGTGGTTCCACACATCACCTCTGCAGCTCAACTCAACCCTGAGGCCTGGGATCAACTCTGACCCTGCAGGCCTGCTTTGATTGGCTCCTGCTGCTCTTCATCTGCTTCAGCTCCACCTCTGCCTCCAGGAAGGCCTCTGAGAACTGCCTGAACTCCCTGCACCTCCTTTACCGCATTCTGTGATGATGTGCTGTGTTGATGTGTGTGTTAGTGTGGGTTCCAGTATGTGGTCATCACTGCACAGTACGCAGTGTGACTGGAGTAATTAAGATTGGGATCAAAGAACCTGGATTTGCAACAGCTGGCTCAAGGCAAATATGACTTTACAAATTAGAGGCAACAAAAACTTGTGAATCTTTTTTTCTTTCTTTTTGATTTTCTGTTTGTTTGTTTTTGAGAGAAGGCAGCAATGTACACCCCCTGCAGGCCTTGAAGTTATCAACAATGGCCTTGAATTTGTCACTCCTGACTCTACCTCCAGAATTCTGAAATTACCACACCCAATTATGCAGTCCTTGAAGTCTAACCCAGAGTTTGTAGCCTATAGGCAAATAAACACTCAAACAACAAAGTAATATGCCAATGCACTCCCTAATAATAAATAAATAAATTCTAACATTGTAGAAAGATACAAACGTTCTATTATGAGCACAACATACTCAGGACATCAAGGATTAAGAGCTGGGTGTGGTAGCTTTAATCCCAGCACGCAGAGATAATACGTGAGAGGAAATAGAAGCTGAACACCCACCTTTAATCCCAGCACTCAGGAGGCAGAGGCAGGCGGATCTGTCTTTATGAGTTTGGGGCCAGCCTAGTCTATAAGAGCTAGTTCCAGGACAGGCTCCAAAGCTACAGAGAAACCCTGTCTCGAAAAAAAAAAAATCCAATAATAAAGAATATTCATAAAAGAGCAAAAAAAATCGTTTCTAACAAAACTGTACTGGTACCTTAAGCTGGATGTAACTGTTTTGAAAAGGAGTCTATAAGTATGAAAAGCCTGAAAATACACAATACTGTTGGTATCAGTTCTCCAGAAACTACATATGGCCTAGTCTACACAGACTGTTAACAGTATCCCAGACAGACCTCTAAGGAGAACTGAGAAATCCTGTGTTCTCTAGTACCCTCCATATTTGAACTTGCGTTATTAAATACTAGGCACTGAAAAGAGACTTTATTTGACCATTTCTGAGACCAAGATAAATGCTAATTCACTAGTCATCAAAATAAAACATTATTTGTTTTTTTACTTCAGGGACTTTCTAGGTACTAATTTATGGTATAAATCTTGACCTTGACCTCTCATATATATTATATATTACATTATACATTACACATTATATTTATATGTAGTATACACATGGATATATATATGATACAATGTGTATATACAATGCACATATATGTATATTATACTATTTTTAAATTTTCCTATCACTTGTGATGACATGCTTTTTAGTTAAACAATTTAGAAAAGTATCACATGTCCTGTTTAATCTTTCCAAGGCAGTGTAGGAGAAGATAGTCAAGAAATCACCTATCTGATAATAAAATATGTCTTTACAGAAGAAATCCAGCCTGTAAGCTATTGCAATTGATAATAAAGAACGATGCTGTTAGCTGGCCACAGTGGCTCTTCAGAGAGGCATTGGCAGGAGGATGGCTGCAAGTTTAAGGCCAGCCTGGCCTACATAAAGGGTTGTAGGCCAACCAGGAACATGAGATGAGAAGCTCTCGTTTTAAAAAATAAAACACAGTATTTTGTGCTTTTAGTGTCATGACACTGAGATTGCAAGGCTTCATTAAATGAGTTCCAAACAAATTTAAATTCATCGGGGGCTGGAGAGATGGCTCAGCGGTTAAGAGCATTGCTTGCTCTTCCCAAGGTCCTGAGTTCAATTCCCGGCAACCACATGGTGGCTCACAACCATCTGTAATGAGGTCTGGTGCCCTCTTCTGGCCTGCAGGCATACATGTAGAAAGAATATTGTATACATAATAAATAAATAAATATTTCAAACAAAAAAATTTTAAATTCATCTTTGAATCAGTAATTCTACTTCCAGGCACACCTTCTACCTAAATTTTAAACAGAAAAAGCTTAGTCTTTCTTAGGTTGGTTTATGTTGTTGATGATAATTTGTTTTGCTTTGTGAGAATGGGTGACACGTAGCCAAGGCTAACCTAAAATTCCTGCTCCTCCTCCCTCCGCTCCCAAGCTCTAGGATTTCCAGCATGTGACACCACTCCTGGTTAGCTTTACCTATTCCATGCTATGCTTAATATATGATAATATGGAATTTTAAAAACATATGTGCAACCTAAGAGTTCAACAGAAAGGAATGGTTATAACTAACATTATTTGTGGCAAATTGATTTTCAAGATGGAATCCTAAACCAGTTAGTGGGAAAGGAAAGTCACCAAAGGTGATGAAAAGTATACAGCCAGAAGGCAAAAAGTAAAGTACTCCCCTCTGCTACTATACACCAAAACTAAGTGCATCAGAAACAAGAGTCAAAACTACAGAAACTTTTAGAGATACCAGAAGTTGTACAGGGGTAAATATTTGTGACTCTAGAATCATCAACGGTTTTTATTACGGTGGTGGATTTTGATTGTTAGGTCTTAAAGACAGGGTCTCTCTATCTGAAGCACTATTATGTAGCTCTGGCCTGTTAATAACAGGCACACATGTGGTGCATGGATATAATAACAAAGGTAAATCTGGTCGAACATTAGACAATTCTCCAAAACTATATAAGAATCAAAAAGTACATAGAAAGATGGTTAAGATTATTAACCATAAAAATCAAAATGAGATACCACAAAGATGCGTATCAGCAAAACAGGTGTTTGCCGGGCATTAGAGAAGCAGGCCTTCCTAATCTGTGGGATTCAATACACTGGAGCCGCTTCAGAAAGATCTGCTCAGTTCTCAAAACACAAGACCACACCCTAAAAACAATATCCACACAGAAAGTCAGAGGATGTGTAGAATTATTCCAAACAGCCCAAAATACAAAACAATACAACTGCATATCCATAAAAAGGAGTGAGTTATGTGTAGGTCAGTGGTAGAATTCTTACCTAGCATGTGTGAGGTCCATCCCCAGAAAAACAGGGAAAAATAAATAAAAAGGAATAAACGTATTGTTGCATAGACGTGGACAAACCCTGAAAACATTACCTTTCAGAGACTAGACACAGAATGACACCTGTTACATGATTCTATTTACTTAAAATATACGAAACAGGAAGATGCAGACTGAACCACGGATCAGAAGTTGGGGGAGGGGGACTGTTGGAGGAGGGTTAACTATATTGGGTACAAGATTTCTGGTGAAGCTGATAAAAACGTTTTGGAACTAAACGGCAATACTACAAAACTTTTGAAAACCTTAAACACAGGGAGAGGGAAAGAGACTTAATGTAAAAGAATGGATTTTGTACTGCCTTGGTTACACCCCAATACGAAAAAAGCATAACCAGGACTGGAAAGATGGCTCAGCAGTAAAGAGCACTTGCTTCTCTTGCAGAGGATTTGAGTTGTTCCTAGCACCACATGCTGGCTTATAACCATTCATGATTCCAGCTCCAGGAAATTAAATGCCCTCTTCTGGCCTCCACGGATACGCACGTGGTGCACAGACATTGTGATGCATGCATTCACACGTAAAATTAAAAAAAAAAAAAAAAAAGACAAAGACAAAGCATAACCAATCTATCCGTGCTCCATGCAGTGAGTACAACATACACAAACTGCATTTTTTTAGTTTGAACTGTAGGCTCACACACTTGCAGGTCATAGCTTAAAACACCTAAGAAATGAGAAAGAACAAAATCCTTAGCAGTTATGCTAATCTCTATTTCTGCATTTCCCAAACGTTTTCTAATAACCCCTGCTCTCTGAAGTCGTGAGAGGAAAACGGTTTATTTACAACAAACAGAAAGGGAAATTATTAAACGCCCAAGTGTGTGAGCTAAATGTCCTTAGCTTATTTTTCAAGGATCTTAGTCCAATGGCCCCCAGTGAAGCTTTCTTTTCTCTCCCCAGCAGAATTAGGCTGAACTCGGAATCTCCATGCCTCTACTTCAAAACAGCTC